TAAATCCTCAAGGGCTACTTGAGGCCTGCAGACTACCAGCTGGACAACCCTGAGCTACATCATGGCTGTGCTGGGCCCCTGGGCTGTGCTTTGTGCCTTTCCTCCCAGCCTGCACAGAGCTTTGAAAATAGAAAGTGCCAGAAATTCATTTACAGAATTCATTCATTCCCTCTGCTCACCTCTTGTCAGGGAGGGCACTGAGTGTTTTCCCACAGCTCTTAGGATGAAACACAACAGCATCGTGTGGGTTTTCCCTTCTGGAAAGAAAAACAGTATAGACACAACATTATTTAGTGGGAGGCTACAAAACTGAGACGGTTCTACTCTGTGGTGGAATCGTCTCCACCAAGTTTCATTATTTTCAGAAACAAAGAGCACTTTTTCCCTTCTCCATTTTAAATCCCTGCAAATGCAGACGTGACAAAGATGCCGACTCTGCAACTCTGCTTCTCCACTCACCCGGCGTGCAGTCCGCCCCCACGGCAGAGCGGGGCCCACAAACGGCCCCCACTCTGCACCGCCTGCTACGACACCTTGATCGGACAGCATAACTGGCTCTCAATAGCTCCGAGTCCTGACACACCCTTCTCAATGCACCCACTCCCATGTCAAGCAGAAGGGTGGTGAATTAAACAATAATGGGCCTACCCACTGACGACTGGAGCAAGATCGAGTAAGCTCAGAATGCCAGAGACATCTTACTAGAATAATTTCAGGAGCTACTGGAATGAACTAGATTCAAACTGGTGATTTAGCGTGAAAAAGTTTCCTATCCCACTGCCAACTGCTTGCGCCACTCAAGTTTCTCACAGAGGGCCGTTAGCCGTAAGTACAGCCTCTCCCCTTCCAGAGACCCACGATGGCTGTAATCTGACAATGCCAGGGCAGCGAGGAAGGAACAGAAGGAAGCAAACCTGACTGACCCCCTTGATGGTGTTACTGGTACAGGCCAGACCCACTACGAACAGTACGTACAGCACCAATGCCTTCTTTACAATGCAAAGGCAGAGAATAAAGAAGTCTAGTGGAAATCAGGCATCTCAACCTACACTTACTTGCAGATGGCACCAATAGTAAAGCCAGGGAGAAGCGATGTTGGCAGGTCCTTCAAGGAGTGAACCACCAGGTCAACTCTAAAAATCAGCCGAGAAGACAAGTTAAAGCACAGAGGTGGAGAACGAGCCATGGGACACCTGCAAATGCTTGCAGATGGCTGACCCGTTAAATTCCACATAGGGCTTTGTTTTAGAGGACGAGTGTGATAGAAGGACTCCTGGATACTATGCCTAGTTCTTGTACTGATTCACTATGCAGTCTTGGGCAGGTCAGCTGTCTGTACCCCGGGTTTCCTGCCTGTAAAATTGGGATATCTTCCCCGGGGAGAGGCTGCATCATAAATACTTGCAACGTGTATTCAGGAGGAGAGCTGGAGAAGCCCAAACACATTGCAAAGGCACCTATTCATCTTGTAATGCCTCATCTCAATGGAATTACACACTCTAAAAAGTTAAAGAACTAACATCTGATAGACAGTTATCCCATGCTAAAATTTCATACCTCCAAAAGAGCAACCAGTGAAAGGGGCAACTGTAAGCACCTGAATTCTATGGGATGCTTTTCACTAATGTTAACGGGAGCTGGCCGGATCAATGCCAACAACCTAAAACAGAATCTTGAATTTTAGTCCAATTTCCATTATATTCCTCCAGCTGCACGTACCCCTCTCAGCTTATCTGGAGTAAGAGGTAAAAAGCAGAATAGGTCACTGCAGAAAGGGATGCAACCACCTGTTCAGATTCCTTTGCACAGTTGTTAGTGAATAAAATTAGCAAGAAGGGATGTTTTAGGAACTGCTTATTGTTAACAACAAATCACATACTTCTATAGAAAGTCCTAGATGCAAAGTGTGTGTGGCAACCAGTAATATACACAGGGCACATGATACAGATACTTTAGAAAACAGCGCTGGCTTGGAAAGCATGAACATCACTGCCCAACAAATTCTCCTGCTGCCTGGGAAGGAGATGGAGACTTGTCGGGATGAGTTCCTCCCACAGCTACGGGTAGCTGAGGCAACAGGACAGAAGAAGGAGACAGGACCTTTCACCGGCCTGTCCCACTTTCCACATGTTCTAAAAATTATTTGAGTTATGAAGAGACCACAGGAATACATGTGCTTGTCTGGATTTCAGATGCAGAGAGGAAATGCAAAGAAGCCATATGATTTGCCCAGACCTTTTCCAGGCCTGGGGGAAGCAAGAAAAGGGCTGGGCTCTTACTCGTTTCTTTCTAGTGCATTTTCCAGCTCTTTGGTAAAAAGACTCTTCTCCCCGATCTAAATGGAGATGGAAGAACACAAAGCACATTAGGGACCCACCACAGCCTTATCAAATGCAGTCACTCTTGGTACAAAAGAGGAAGAGGCCACTTACCTTGGAAAGAGCCGTGTCCAGAATCTTATCTCCAGTTGTTGACATGGCAACTATTCAAAGAGAGAGGTGCATAATTCTTGTTAAGGGCAGAGGTATGGCAATTCACACAGGCCTGGTCTCTGGGAGTCCCTGCACAACATTCAGCAGAGAGTGCCAAGCTCCTCCACTCTAGCGAAGGTATTAAAACAGGATCCAAGTGGGAATAAATCAAGTTAAGTACTGGAAATATTGTGCACTGAGCAGTAGTAAAGATCAGGCCTACCATTTGTGTGTTTCTTTATACCCAAGGGTACAGAAGGAAAATAAACCAGACGTGGTAGATGTTGATAGGTACATCTGAGCAGATGAGGCTGAAGTGAGGTAATTCCATTGTTAATGAAGCAAATGGCTTTGTGCCCCTTATCTGGCCTTGCTGCTGATCCCAAGCAGGTGGAAGCTGGCACCTGCTCAACAGTGATGGACCGGGCTCTAGTGCTTCCTGCTTACTCCTCAGTTTTGAGTTTGCAGATGAACAACATTTCAGACCAGTACGAGACCAGTATGGATTGCAGATTGGCTGAGGGGTCGCACTCAGAGGGTAGTGGTGGATGGGTCATATTCAACCTGGGGGGAGGTGGGTAGCGGAGTCCCCCAGGGCTCGGTCCTGGGGCCTGCGCTGTTCAATTTCTTCATCAGCGATCTGGATGATGGGGTGGAAAGTAACCTGTTTAAATTCGCTGATGACACCAAAATTTGGGGGGAGGTGAGCACGCTAGCAGGGAGGGAGAGATTGCAGAGGGATCTGGATAGGTTACAGGGGTGGGCTAACAGGAACAGGATGCGTTTTAATACGGACAAGTGCAGGGTGCTGCACTTGGGCAGTAGGAACCAGCAGCACACTTACACAATGGGGAACTCCCTACTTGAGAGCACGGAGGCAGAAAGAGATCTTGGAGTCATTATTGACTCCAAGATGAACATGGGCCGACAATGCGAGGTCATGGTTGGCAGGGCTAACCGGACCTTGTCGTGCATCCACAGGTGCATCTCGAGTAGAGCCAAGGAGGTGATCCTCCCCCTCTACGCGACGCTGGTCAGGCCACAGCTGGAGTATTGTGTCCAGTTCTGTGCGCCCCATTTCAAGAGGGATGTGGACAATATGGAGAGGGTCCAGAGGAGGGCCACCCGCATGATCCGGGGACAACAGGGCAGACCCTACAGTGAGAGACTGCGGGACCTGAACCTATTCAGCCTCCACAAGAGAAGGCTAAGGGGGGACCTGGTGACTGTCTATAGACTCACTAGGGGGGACCAGAAGGGTTTGGGGGAGACGCTGTTTCCCCTAGCGCCCGCTGGCATAACAAGGAGTAATGGGCACAAGTTGATGGAGAGGAGGTATAGATTGGACATCCGCAAAAACTACTTCACAGTTAGGGCGGCTAGGAGCTGGAACCAACTTCCAAGGGAAGTGGTGCTGGCCCCTACCCTGGGGGTCTTTAAGAAGAGGCTGGATGCCTACCTGGCTGGACTCGTTTGAGTCCCGTTTCTCTTTTTGGGGTTTTTTGTTGTTCTCCCGCCCTGGCGGGGGGTCGGGCTAGAAGATCTACTAGGTCCCTTCCGACCCTTAATCTATGAAATCTATGAGACAGGAAGGTGCCTAGGTCACACATGCCTGAACGCAGGCAGACCCACAGAATTCTCCAAGAGGAACAGCAACGCCATCTGCAAGGCCTGGCGAGCACGAGAGCCGTTCCTGGATTCTAGGCTCCTTCCTCATCACATATTAGCAGCCTCTGCCTAGTTACATGATCAGAACTAGGAACTGACAAGAGTTCCTTATCAGATACAGAAACTGTCACACTGCTTATACCCCATTCGCCCTACCCACTCCCTGTTTTTGACGAGCACCTGAGCACTTACCTATCTCAAAGCGAAGGCCAGGGTATTGCTTGCAGAGCATCCCGACCACACTGTCGGTCTGAATCCGAGCCAGCTGCAGTAAAACAGAAGGCAAAACCCTACATACAATGCTAAGCGAGGCAGAGACAGAGACAAGTACTTACCTACGACTGGGCAAGCTGTAAGGATCAACCTACCCAGGGCCATGCTTGGGTAAATGGCATTAGGGAAGCACAGAGATTTTCTTGCTTACACTGAAAGTCAAGTCAAACTATTTTGGACAGTGCTAGAGAACAAAGCCTGCAGGCTGGGGTGCCCCTGGTCTCAAGGCTATACAAAGGCACACAAAATAGCTTGTTGACTCCCAGTTTGCTGAGTGACAATCTAAACCCTCCTGTGCTTTGCCTAGTGCTGCTATGGAACTGCGCGGGGGCCAGAATTCCCCATCTCTTGGTGAAATAATCTAATGAAACAAAGAAGCTGTTTCCAAACATGGGAGCTGCTTGGGCTTGACACGAGCCAAGCTCACTCTTGCACATGGGGAAAAGCAACAACTGAGTGCAACAGACAGAGCAGGCCAGAGGTTAGCAGCAGTAAAAATAAATAAATAAAATAAAAATGCAAAGACCAGATCAGATGAGGTGACCTTCACCTTGCATTCTGACAGACGGGTTGAGTTAAACCAAAGATGTCAAACTCCCCCAGCCCCAGTGTCTGCAAGCACACACACAGCACAGGTCCCAGACCGGCTACAGAGGCTGCCACGTGTGGCGTGCGGCCCCATGCACTGCAGGTAGTGCTCCAGCCAGACCGTGCCACACGCAATGCCTATGCCGGCCACTCCAAGATCCAGGCCACGTGCAGCAATCTTGTGCCATGGAACAGCCATGGGACCGGACATGCTGGGCAAGGGAAGGGGAGAGGGTCTGTCCAGCAGATAAGCTCTATGCCATGTGTGGGTAACGTGCCTTGATTGGGTCTAATCAGACACAGAGGCAGCACCATGAGCTAGATGCAGGGTTCCATGGGTTACATCCAGCCTGTGGGCTGTGTTTGATACTCCCGAGATAAAAACAGTCCACAGCAACTATGCTACCCAAGCAAAACCTAAAGAAACCTTCCACCAACCCTCAGCTGGAAGGAGGCAGCATATCCTAGAGGTCACAGCTACAGAAAAGAGCCAGATCTCCTGCACGCTAATCTCTCTGCTACCGATTCACAGTTTGGCTGTGAGCAAGTTGCTTTGTTTGCTGCACCTTAGTTTTCCCCACACGTGAAATAAGCCTGACCACCTTTCCCTCTTGTAAAATGCTGCCAGATTCCCAAGTGAATCACAGAGATGTGCAAAGTCTCATTACTGACAATTCTTAACAATAATCTGGGACACAGGGCTCTGCTACTCATTGCCACCAGGGAAAGCAATGTTTCTTTCACCAAAGCTAACGTGCCTCATCCTCCAGCCTCCCCCAAAGTAAAGAGATGTTCCTACTGCTAACTGCCAGGGTGAGCAACGTTATCTCAGAACAAAAACGTAAAGGAAATTTATCTCTCTTTGCAAACCTGCTCCTACCAGCTGCAGTTAAGATAGCAAGACACACTCACTGTATCTCTCTATACCCGCCCCCACCAGGCCCTTGCGAGGGTCCAAGCAGCATAAAGTTTGCCTCTATGTCAAAGATACCTGATCCTCACTTGCAGCAAAATACAGACAGAAAGAATTTCTGTTTCAGCTAAAACGGAAAGGTAGTCAGATGCCCGTTACTTAAATTTCTCCCCTAATCTGACACTCAGACAGGCCACTTAACAGCCAAGGGACTAAGGTTCCATTTATTCAAACAGCTGATCCAGGCTAGGCAGCCATGGGACAAGCTTCTCATCCTCAGCCTCAACAATGTGCGACAACTCAGACGTGAAGGGATCTCCCCCTACCTCTGCTCTCAAGGGGACCGCAAGCGCTAACTGCTGACAGAATCCTGTCCAAACCCCAGGAGCTCATTCTTCAGCAAACACGTAATTACTGAATTCTAGGGCTGCTTTCAGGAGGGAACTTGGGTGCTTTTGGTTACACCACAGGGGAAAAAGGGTAATCTGCATTAACACAAACAAATACATTTATTTCCCTATAACAACTTTGTATTTAATTCAAGAACCCAAAGATGCTTTACTAATGCTTGGGGTGTGAGGTTTCACAAATTACTGATTTACATGACTGGTCCAAATTGACACAGAAGAAAACAGAGGCTCAAATAAATCAAGAGCAACATGTAAGACTGCACATTATTTTAGGGTTCCAAAGCACAGACCCAGAACTTCACCAGCTGCGCCTGTGAGTCAGGAGGGCTCAGCATCTCTGAAAAATAATTTGGTAGGGCACAGACAGAGGTAATGGCTGTATCACTATCAAAGGATACCAACGTAAGCTTCTAGGGTATCCCAGTTGCATCTGCATGACTCTGTAGTGCTACGAGCACAGCAAAGCCACTACAACCCTAACCCTGAGTTGCTCAGAGTCACGGTAAAGTGCGTGCGATGACCTGCATCGCTACAAGATCACGCAAGTAAGAGTCTGAACCTCCCAGCTGAGGTACATCCACACCCTCCTTTTAACGCTTCTGATGAGTATGTCCATCCAGCCCCTTAGCTGCATGAAGTTGGTACTTAAACTGAGACAGCACCTTAGAAGAGACAGCTATCTCTGAATAGCCCCCATCAAACACTACTGGAGGGACCCCAAGTCCTGCACTGTGCCTTGTATGCAGCATGCCTGAAACACACTGTTTCCTCGATATACACCTACATAAGTAGTGCACAAAGGCTTTTTAAAACTGAAATGAGCCACCTACGTTTTCTACTTTAAGGAATACAGCAGCAAGGTTTTAAGTAGCACAATATTTCCTGTTGAAAAGAGACTCAACAGTGTAGCCATGCCAGGACAGAAGTTAGAACAACAGAAACTTACCTGGCTCTTCCTGGTGCCCACTCGGATAACTCTGTCTTTCAGGCCATTTTCGTCCTGCAAAACGCATTACATTTATTTGTAAAATTAAAACAGGTCCCTGAATTCATAGGTCCACAGGTTTTTCTTTACAAATGTTTGTGGCACCTCACAGCTCATTCTGCCTACCAGAGCAGGCAAGTATGCCCTCAGGCTGGCAGCCACCTCTTCCTAAGCTGAACAAAACATCTAATGCGTAAATCTATTAAACAATAAGCTAGCAAAAAAGCATCATCTCCAGCTACAGCTGAAGTGTCCAGCATTTCACAGAAGGCAGTCAGCCATCCGGCGGACTCAGGACAAGAGCCTAAGTCATCAAACGCTGTCAACTTTAGTGTAAAAAACTGACAGTCCCATTTTGGTTCATATATTGACTTCCACGGCAAGTCCAGTTTGCAGGACTGGGCGTCATAAACTTTACATTCAGTTGCTCTTAAATAAATATCCCATAATTAAGGATCATTCATTAAGAAAACACATTTCATCCTTATACAAAAAGGTCCGTCTTCAAAAGGTACAAAGGTCAATTTCTCTCTGCATACTCGCTGACATCTTAGCTACCAGACCTTTACGTTACAATGAATTAACAGCTAAAACCGATTCATTCCGCACCTGGCATAAATAGAAAATTGTAGCCCCCATTTAGTTTCTCACCCCTCCTACTTGACATGTTTTCAACACTATCTTTTAATTAAGATAAACACTGCAGACACCCAAACTTCTGACCACTTAATTGGGACTTTTTTCAAGTCGGAAGTGCTACTCCCCTTGTTCAAGACCCCATCCTGCACAAACTCAGGAAAGAAAAGATAGCTAGATTTTTAAGCTTGGGCTGTGA